CTACGTGGGCGGAGCTCCGGCACATGTGTTTCTACGCCAAGTAGTCCCTTTTCGTGCGATTTTGGTTTCGGTTTCGCAAACGCATCTAGAATATACTTTTTCGCACCACTATACAAATTACATCTTTTGGGGAGGAAATATATCAAATGTTTACTTTTTTAAAGGGAAGAACATGATGCTTTTGTGAAGAGTAGAGATTTATTTCAGAAAAGAAAAACGTACGGCCGAGCAGGTACTGGGCGATTGTAACAATGCAAAGCCAAGATTCCACCTTCTAAACTTCAGTGCATGCTCGGTCGGCGTCAAGTTTTCCTGCTTTTAAAAACGAAAGAACTTTCTCGAGACGCCCATGTTACGTTTAGGGGATGCGAAGGCAACGACGGGAAGCAGAAATCTGGGCACGAATCAGTATTGACCGGGCGCCTGACCTTCGTAAATCCAATTGAGTGAAACGCAATCTTCACTCGGCCAAGAACGCTGTTTTTGAAGGGTCAACAGGGTAATTAATACACATGAGTGCTTCTGTTACCCATGCAGGCAAAGCGTAAAGAACGACTTCCTCCGTTGACGCCGACGGGAGCAGTGTTATGATAGGCGATCTTCAGCGTTGTCGTATTAGGGATATTCGGTGGCCGAAACACCGACCACGTATGCAATGAAATTTAGAAAAGGATCATTTGTTTTACGTACAGTTTCCAATCACAATTTTTTTCCAAGCATCTGGTGTTGCTGAAGACTGGCAGGTCGCCAGTGTCACGCCATGGTGGCATAGTCGCGCTTCAATGTGAACTTGCTGCAACCGAACGACGCCAGCGTTCTTTGCGGGGGCAAGGAAAAAAGTGAAATAGCACAAGAAAGCCAAAAAAACTAGAAACAGCAAAGAACGAAAACCTGCACACGTGATGCTTCATAATAAGAATGCGAACAATCTTGAAGATAATATTTACATTCCTTTTTTATATTTTACATTAGGCTACGCAGTATATGAAATTTAGCGTTCGAGGACTACATGCAGAAGCGTAGTACAAAAGGGCGTGATTGGGCTTCGTACTCTTGGCTGTGCTGCCACAGAAAGTTGTCGCCGAGTATACGCGCACTAAATGATGTTCGTCAGCAAGGCCCCTTGAAACATCAACGAGCCAACGTATGGCGCATGATACGTTGTTTACCGATAAACAATTATAAGCGGCATGACCACTGCGAAATGCGAGTATAGCTTCCCTTAATGCCGTCGATCCCTCGAGCACCACTCTAGAATATTGCAAGCGCAAAAAGCGCCACGTAGCGCATACAGAGAGAGCTACACCAAAGAAGAAGAGCGAAGGAGGAAATCTGACAGGTGTGCTATATATACATATTTAGGAGGGAAACAGCTGCTACCGCGTCTCAAGGCAACGACAGAGACGCTCCCTCAGAGGAGCGCGTGACGCAAGGAGCACTGCCCCTCAAGGAGCGTCGCACAACTACAACTCCATGACCCAAGGGGACCAACGGTGCCCATTCGCGCGCGAGCATATGCACCCCTACAGGCACGCTCTCTGGTTAGCTGAGGTCCTCGTATACTGAATCTCGCTCAGTGAGAAGCATGTGAAAACAATTGTTTAAACCAGTAATACATTTATTTCCTTTATGCCTTGTGGTTACGGCGCCTTAAAATAAAAGGCATAGGCGCCAATGAAAACAAATCTGTAATTACGCAATAAAAACAAAACCATGAGTTCAATGAAAAAACGGCGACCACAAAACCAGCATTTTTCACTTCCACCTTTTTGAAGGTTGTGTAGAGTAACCTTTGCAAGAAAACGTACGCCTCATTGGTTTTTGATTCTCCGTCTCCTTATCACAGGTGCACCAGTATCTGTGAGTTATGAACGTGGAATCCCAATAAAGACCACGGGACGGCTCTAAGCTCTCCCATAGTAGAGTACCCTGTACTCTAAATCGTTACCCACTTAATCCAACCCCCCCCCCCCTAATTATGTAAGAGAAACGGGATGGCTCCAGGCTTCCCCATAGTAGAGCGCCTAGTACTCGAAATCGTTAACGACTTTTAGGGGCGAAGCTCCTTATAGCGGCACCCGTTCGTCTCTCGTAGCCGTTGTAGTGTGTAACACGTATGACATTTTGACCTCCAAGGGGGTGCCGGTGAGAGATTTCTTCTGTGCGTTGTTGACACACACACACGCACGCACGCACACACACAGACCGAAACACAGACAGGGAGACACAGACAGATTCAGACAGACAGAGACACAGACAGACAGAGACACAGACAGACAGACACAGAGAGAGAGAGAGAGAAAGAGAGAGAGAGAGAGTACGTTGTACCAGCACGCTTTCGCAAATGGCACATACAGGTTTTTGATCTAAAGCAAGACTCGCATGGCCTCCAAGATACACACCATGCACTCGACATCTCGGAGCCCATAAAGAGTCTCACAATGCCTCTCAGATGTCAGCACATTATCTACCATTTGCCGTTTGCTTGATCAACGCCTCTGGAAAGGCATGATGTGTTTTCCGCTAGATGCACATAGTTGTCCATTTTTAGAGCTGTTTGAAAGTTCCTCTGTGTTTTTAGCGGCGATGGCTGCATTATCCCGGCCTCTTTCGACGTAGTTTGAGGGTTCCCAAATGCGCCTACAAATCGCCGAATGGGCTTGTTTCCGTCGTGACACCTGTCGGACAAAACGCGTTAAAGGGGGCCTGAAACACTTCTTTCAAGTAACCATGGAATAAATTTACATAGAGAGCTTATTGCCTCACGAATTCAAGGCCACACAAATTATAAGAATGCCGTCCAGTGCTAGTGGAGTTACAAAGGCTTGTCGCATGCTGCCATTGCATTATCTCTTCTCCTCGTCCCGACGAAAGTGCTGGGAAGCTAAGCAGGGAGGGGTGGCAGGGGCAAAGAAACCACAGCACTCGCGCGTCATGACCTTGAGCATTTTTTTTTTCTTCAAGTGCGCATCTTTTCCACTGTGATCGCAGCGCGCACGCGTGGACAAGTAGCGGCCTCCCGCGGCAATCTCTGTAACTTGCTTTTTCGCTCACCGACAGTTTTTCGCTCACATCCAACGGTGCCGACATTGACGGCGGGATTTCTTCGACACGAGCACGTTAATAGCGCTAAATAGCTGGTCCCGCAGAAACTCGGGCGTCGGTGTCGTTGGTTGTGAGAGAAAACTCATATTAAGCATGACCGAAAAATCTAGAGCGATCCAAATAAACTAATTTTTCCTAAAGAATGCTGTGTCACAGTGGCGGTCGAACCGGGGTCATTGCCGTGATAAGTTAGTGTTATTACAACACGACCACGAGTCTGCTTGCGAATACAGTGAAAATGACTTCCTGTGCTTGGAAATGCATTGAAAGTAACACATGCCTTACCAACAAACGCGTACTGTATACACGCTTCACACTGCTACTTCAAATATCGCAGTCATAATGAGTGGTACAAGCGTCCATTGCCATTGGTCGTCAGAACATGTGATTGTCATGATGATTCCGTGGTTCAAAGCCGATAGCCCACTACAAAAGGCACACACGCTACTGTGCATGTTCCCTTTAGACCACGTAGTTAGTGCATAGCAAGTTCGAAAAGGTTTCATGCACTAATAGTTTTAAGTACGCCTATCTAAGGAACAGAATAACGTTATCCCGTTCAACTCTTAAAGACGAAGCTTTAGGGTTCCCTAATTTTTCTTGGGCTGTAATCGACTGTAGGGTTTCACGCGTGAAGGCAACGGTAGATACTCCTAGCCACGATGGCCATAACTCAGTGGGGAGGAAATGCGAAAACACGGGCGCATGAATCTGCATCAAGAAGGCACTGCAGAACTATAAAAAAATAGGCGAGGTGCAGAAATATATCGGAATGTGGGATGGGGCCAGAGTTAACTCTGGGATGGGGCGGGTGGAAAGTGCACACAATTGGCTAAGATGAAAGAGATCAAAATGTATTTCGCTCTCGAGTCGTCTTGGGGAAATGCATAAGGAGCTACGCTAATTTCCCTGTTTAGCCTAGAAAGGCTTGCTAGGTTGCTTGCTTGTCCCTAGAATAACTTATATTAACTGATTAACTGTTTCTCTTCATAGCAGTGTATTCCAATTCAGACGAGGTACTTGTGGCACGTGCGTAGAGGATGCAAAGGAGAAGAAGAAGAAGGCGTGAAAAGGTTCTCAATATAAGCAGCAGACTCCCTAGCACGAGCAGCATTGGAAGGGCCAGTACTATCAGTCCTTCCCGAAGTGGCCACTATAATTGCGACACGATACAGAAAACTTGCGCTTAATGCAGACGCTATGGAAGCAATATTGTCGACACCGGAATTTACTCACTTAAGATTTTCATGGAAAATTCATTGGTGTCGTACAAGACAGTTGGAAACCATAATAACCAAATTTCAATGTCGTGTCCCCCCGTTAAATTTCTATTCACATAGGGCTGGTCTGGCGATATCACCACTATGCAACTTTTGTTCAGAATTGGAAACAATAAAGCACTATTTTTTATCATGTCGCCGATACAAATTGCTCAGGAAAACACTCTTAGTCCTCCCATTCGCGAGCCTGGGGCTGAATTTCACCATAAAAAACATACTTTTCTTTGGTGCTTACGATCTGGGCTTCAGCCACGAGAACGTTTTCTATGCAGTTTGCAAGTACCTTAATGAAAGTAAAATAATTAGGCCTTTAATTGCGTGATTGTTATTCGTGCAAAAAAATTCCAACATACACAAGAGCATTGTTTAACCATGCTGATTCCTATTCAAGGTAGTGAATAATTGTCTTATTTGAACGAGTGACAGACAACTGTTTCACTCCTTTTGTTCTGCCTAGGGTGTCTTTTCTTTTTTCTTTTTTTTCTGGTGGGTGGTTTCGATATTGAAAAAAAATCCCCCTGAGTGGGTACGAGCCACGGCTGTGGAATCATCATCATCATCATCATCATCATCATCATCATAAGCAGCAAGTCGTCAGCTGTGACGAAGCTCAAGATGGGCCAGGGCAGTACCCAAGTCGGGACACCCAAAGAGCTACAGTGTTTGTCTGAGAGGGACAAGGGAGCGATTCGCGAAGCCTGGCGTGCGTTCTGCAACACCCACCCGGATCCCGGCGCAGTCCTTTTTTCTGCGCTCCTGGACAGGCACCCGGAGTACCAGGCGCTCTTCAAGGAGTTCAGGGACGTGCCCAAGAGTGGCCTCGTCAACGTGCCCTTTTTCAAGACAGTGTGCGCAGCTGCGTGCCTTCTGTGAATGTACCTTTTCAGGGTGGGTAATCTGGGCACGCGCGGTGGTGACGATGATGACGCGGACGCTTAGGATTTGGTGGCCATAACGCCTCCATAGGTGCGGACCAAATGGCATCTACAGCGTTGCGATTTTAGGGGCGAAGCTCCTTAAAGCGGCATCCGTTCATCCCTCGTAGCCGTTGTAGTAGTGTGTAACAAGTATAACATTTTGACCTTCAAGGTGGTGCCGGTGAGAAATTTCTTCTGTGCGTTGTTGAACAATAAAAGATAGTGTTCAATGTACATGCCAATGGCTGCTTAGGGGGAATGAGAGACAGGAAAACTCGGCTTTTAGTTAACGCGCACGCTACAATTTTTTTACTGTTCAACAACGCACAGAAGACAAGAAAGTGTTGCTATGTTATACTCGCTGGGCGTAACCTCCTTGGTTTTAGAAAGGTATAGCGAGCGTTGGGCCGCAGTGCCATAAATACAATGAACTAGTATATACCATGAACTCGAGGTGGTGAAAGGTGGGAAGTAAACACGAAGCGCAAGCCGTAAGAAAGTGTGCGTGTGCCTCCTCTCGTTCAGTCCTTGAAATGTCCACTGGTTGGTGGTGCTTCTATATGAGGTATATATGATGAAAAGATGCGAGATGGTGGTACTTGGAGTGTTGAATAGATGGACTAACGGACACAAAGACAGATGCATGAACGGACGCATCGAAGGCTGCACGGACGGATGGACGCAGGAGTGGATGCATGGACGAAAGCAGAGACGGACGCACAGATGAACTTGCGGACGCACGAACAGACGCACGCGCGGACGGGCGGATGGACGCACGGGCGGCCACACAGACGCACGCATGGATGGACGGAAGCAAGAACGAATGGACGGATGGATGCTTCGCCCCACATCCATCATTCACTCCGTGGATATGCTGCCATTTTTCTTCACTCTAATTCACCTCTAATTTGTCAAATTAGAAGTGAATTAGAGGCAAAAAAAAGCTTGGTTTACTGTCGTGTTTCGTGTACTCTTGAGCGTTTTGTTGTTTTCTTTGTTTTTATATTATTTTTTACGCTGTGCATAGTTGTTTCCGCTTATGCATTATAAGTTTGTTTTGAAACCACTGTTTTTACACAGAGTTGTTCTTTCATTTTTTTACGTACTGCTTATATTCTAGTTTTATTTGCGCATTATATAACGAATTGTTTTGTTCGGTATGTACCAACATACAGTATATTTTTCCAACACGTTTAAGAACCCCAAGTAGTCGAAATTTCCGGAGCCCTCCACTACAGCGTCTCTCATAGTCATATGGTGGTTTTGGGTCATTAAAGCCCGCATATAAATCAATCAAATTAATATCTTTTCCGCGCATTTAAATATCAATATTTGTCATAGGGACCCCCGGTTACGCAACTAGTGTTAAGTTCTAAGGTCCTAACTGTTATAAGCTGGGACCCAACTGTATACGAGTGCCACACGAAGTACTCCAGGTTTGCTAATAACAATAATGAGCTGATTGATTGATTGTCTCTGACACTGTGACACCTTACATACCGCACACAGGACGCACTGTTCGGCGATGGCCAAGCTGCTGAGCGACGTGGTCGAGACGCTGGACAAACCCGCGCTGCTCGCGGCCGTGGTGCGGACCAACGCGCTCGAGCACGCCACCCGTGACGTGCTGCCGCTGCATTTCGAGTCCCTGTGGCAACTGGTCGGAACGCGCGTGGGCCTCGGCGCTGCCGGCGCGTCGTGGGAGAAGCTTCTCGAAGTACGGGCACGTACCCTACCCCAACGCCTCCTCTAAACAATGCCTGGGGAATGGCTCGCGCTCCCAGCGGAGTTGGCCTGCCTTCAGTTTTGAGCAAGCGCCGCGTGGTGGCGCTCGCGACCGACACTATTATCACAGGCCCCTGTGGTTAGCATTTTTGTATATCAAGGGAGCGTACGATAGCGTGGTTCAAGAGGAATTGTGGGGAATACTGGACATAGGCGTGGAACATGTAGTCACTTATCTTTTAAAGGGTATCTATAAAGGTAACAAGGTAGTTATGAAGTGGGAAAAACAGGTATCCAAGCCTGCAGAGGTAAAACGGGGTCTTAGGCAGGGGTGCCCCCTGTCACCCTTATTATTCATGATGTGCCTACAAGGATTAGAGGCAAAATAAGAGGGAAGTGGACTGGGATTCAACCTCTCTTTAGTCAAACAAGGGAAACATATTGATCAGGCACTACCAGCATTAATGTACGCAGATGATATAGTGCTAATGACCAACAACAAGGAAGATTTGCAGAGAGTGATGGACATCTGTGGTAATGAGGGAGATAGGTTAGATTTTAGATTCAGTAAGGAAAAATCAGCAGTCATGATTTTCAATGACAACGAAGGTAGTGAGCTTAGAATACAGGAGGTCACGCTAGAGATAATAGATAAATACAAATATCTGGGCGTATGGATAAGCAATGGGACCGAGTATCTGAGGGAACACGAAATATACGTGACGACTAAAGGTAACAGGAATGCAGCCCTATCGGGAAAAAACGAATGATGGGCATGGTGGAAACCACCACCCACCATTATAGTGGATTAATGTAGTGGGTGAATGGTGGGAAACACCCACCATGACGCATGGTGGGTATGGTGGGTGCTGCAGTGCCGGCAACACTTGAGCGCAAAATGACGTCAGAATCACCGTGACGAGCTGCCACAAAAAATAAAAAAAGAATTCTATAAAAACGGTATAAAAAAACACCCGTCCCGTAAAAAAAAACAAGGCGCCACGCTAACCACTGCGCCACACCAACATGACGGAGATTGCGTGTTAAATACTTAGTTGGCATACAAACTTAAGGTTCAACTTCAGTTATGTTTGTCGTGTACACAACTTAGACAAAATCTACACCTGCTACTAAAAATTGCACATTTATTAAACACAAGCAACTGCGCCCTGTAACGATTGCCACTATGTTATTGGCACTAGTGCTATTTTTTTTTTACACTTCACAACTTCAAGAAAAAAAAACCAAGTGGACTGGGGAGCAGCAACAGTTTACCGGCGGGGTCTGCCAAGTTTAATATCCGTTTCGCGTTGGTTCTGAAGGGCGACATCTGCTCACGCTTTATGACGCTTCTAGGCTCATTTCATAGATACGCCCGCCTAATTTATTTGATTGAGTATTGGGATGCTTTTCGCGCAATGTAGAGCCGGTCGCGCCAGCGCAATGCTGTAGCTCTTTCGCTAAAGCAACAACTACATAACGGCTTGGCCAAAACGAATGCAGTGTACCGGAAACATTACGCTATCATAATGGTTCACCAAGCACACGAATTGCCACGTCTGAGTTCTCGTACAAAAGCTAGAGAAGTGCCGGCGAGTGAGACCGGCGGCTGTCGGTTAGAAGACACTTAATAACGTTTTCTTGGAGTGCTTTAATCGCGTCACATCGATGTTTGTTGCTTCTTGAGCGAACACCATACACAATGAAAAATGCTTCATTTAGGTTAATTGATGCCATATGGCTGCGCTGTATTGTCATACTTAATCGTCGTAATCGTGTATTCTGAAACCCGGAAGCACGGATAACACAATTGTACGGGCTTGGTCAGTAGGCCTAACCTTTGGTGGAAATCATGATGGTAGAACATGCAGTGTACAGATCCCAGCTTGGTACACTATATAATTTGCCCGCCATTATAAGCCCACCCATCATCTCCTTACTGCTTCCCACCATTATCGCGATGATGGTGGGCAGAGCTTCTCAGCTTAGTACACCATGTGGCCCACAATAACAAGCAGCACCCATCATCTGCTTAGTGCTTCCCAGCATTATCGCAATGGTGGGAAGAGTTTCTCAGCTTGGTACACCATGTAGCCCACCATAATAAGCACCACCCACCATATGCTTAGGGCTTCCCAGCATTATCGCAATGGTGGGCAGAGTGTCCCACTATTGCCCACTATCTAGCCTCTGCTTTCCACCATCATTTCCACTTTACCCATCATCTGTACACCATACCACCCAGTATGTCCCGACATAACCACCATATTTTCCACTACGTCCCACCATAGCCATCATAATTTCCACCATGCCCACCACTATTTCCACCATGCCCACTATTATTTCCACTATGCCCACCATGTTTTCCAGTATCCACCATGACAATTTTTCCAATAGGGAGCAGTCATGAAAAATAGGGCACTGTGGAATTACAATAGGCATGATGTTGTGAGAGGAATATGGAAAGGGGTCATGGTCCTTGGTCTGACGTTTGGCAATGTGGTCTTGTGCATGAGATCAGAAGTTCAAGCAAGATTAGAAATTAAGCAACGTGGAATATGTAGGCTTGCTTTAGGAGCTCACGGGAATACACCAAATCAGGGAGTACAAGGTGATATGGGATGGACATCATTTGAGGCCAGGGAAGCTAGCAGCAAGATAAATTTTGAGAAGCGATTGAGAGAATTGGGGGAAGAGCGTTGGGCTAGGAAGGTTTTCAGCTACTTGTACATGAAGAATGTCGACACAAAATGGAGGAAGCGAACCAGGAAGTTGACTGGTTAATACTTAGAAAACAGCAGGTGGCCAACCCAAAAAGAACTATCGGTTAAGAAGAAAGTGAAGGAAACGGAGACTGACATGTGGAGAATGGGCATGATTAAGAAGTCCGCACTAGAGATCTATCGAACTTTTGAGCAGGAAATTGCCAAGGAAAGGATCTATGATAATACTCGGGGTAGTTCTCTACTGTTTGATACTGTTTGAGGCCAGGACGGGAGTACTGCGAACCAAGACATATCGGGTGGTGGTGGTGGTAGTGGTTACAATGAAGAGGAAAAAGGCACCTAATTTCTGTCTGCCTTCAGGCGACACGGCGCAGTGCCTTATAGGGGTGGGGGGAAGGAGGGATAAAAAGAATAGAAGGAAAGTAGAAGCAGAAGAAGACAGCCAACGAGAGGAAAAAAGAAGGAGATAGGAAAGTGGGGATCCGGTCGAAGCAGTCCAAGGGCGGGGTGCCACAATGCGAGAGCTACACGGCGTCAGGAGACCGCGGAGGGCGAACCAGTCGGCGGGAGCTACGCTGAAGTCGGAGATCGCGAGGGCACAACCGTC